GCAGTGCAACCTCTCAATGTATGTCTGAAGCTGTTGAAAGGAGACAGTGCAGTTTTTCTTCACTGGGCAGATACAGTGAGACACTCTGAAGGGTTCCTGTTCTTGTGGAAAACACATTAAGCTTCTTTTGCTAATATTTTGTAAAGGGCACTTGTACAATAACAATAGCTAAAGCTTCCTGTTTGCCTGTGTGCTTCCTGGCTAACATTAACGAGACCTGCTGACAATTTTCTTCTTCAGCACACAGAACTCTTTCAGATTACTCAGTAGACTCAAGGACATATAATTTTTAAATTAAAAAAAAATATCTAACAGTAATGGCCCACATTGCACCTGCCCTTCACATTCCTAAGTTTTCTAGCTACACATTTCCTATTTTCTGGATCAGTCTGTGTGCCACCAGTCTCCAAAGAACATGTTTTGAATTTATGAAAAGCCTGATAGCAGTAGAATTCTCTCATTTGGCAAACATACCATCACAGAGACACTTGCTTTTGGCTCCATGACAAGAAATTCATGGTACTTTGTCCAATCCACAAAAACACCATCCCTCCCCTCTCAACCAGCCTTTCAAGATAATTTTTTCTCCTCCAGAGACTTCTCTAAACAAGTCTGCAAGTCTGAACTCTTGGGTTTCATTTCATAAACAGGACACAACAGCCGAGTGCAATTCAGGATACTGTCACTGCCCCATGGGCTCAGCACTAATCACAACAGCTTTCTGCAATATTCCCTAGGCCCCTTCTTTCCAGAGACAAGGCCTGATTTTTAGACCGGGCATCTTTTGAAGTAGGCACAAAATGTCAACAAGAAGCCAAGCGCCAGATCCCAGCCAAAGGGTATCCATTAGTCATGGCAGGGCTAGGAAGGAAGGGAAGGGCAGCTGGCCCAAAAAAGTGGTGTCTGTGCTGCTGCAGTTGCCACATCTCTCTGAAAGGATTGCTCAATCCTTGAAAAAGACACAGACATCCTTCAGATAATCACTGAACTCACACTGGTTTGTTTTTTCAACAGCACCTCTGAACATAAGCTCCTCTTCTAAAAGCACTCTCCCTCCTCAAAGTTTCCAGCCTATTCTGGATACAATATTTGGTGAGGGCTCCACTGACACAGCCACCAGAGACCTCAAAAAGGTAAAAGCCAGCAGCCTCCCAAGAGCGTGTGGATGCATCAGTTAACAGATGAAGAACAAATGCAGGGATGAACAAACATCAAATCCTCACATGCATTCAGCTGCCTGAACACCTCCAGATTTAATTCACTTCTCCAAATCACAGAGCAGAGATCTGAATCCAGATTCCTGGATTCTAGAGCACCTCTCTGGTTTTACTGTATTATTACAAGCTTCCCTCACTACAGTTCAAGACTCCTGCTCGTCCCAGTGGGCTCTGTATCAACTCTGACAATGTCCAGGGAGTTCTCTGGAAGTCAATCACTGCAACGGAGCCATCTCGAGCCCTAATGATCAGCTACTAAAAACAGGTTACAAATAAACTGCAAGGACTCAATCACTGCTTAACATAAAGAGCCAGCTACTCAAACATGCACAAGCCATTGTTGAAAGAAAACAATTTGTCAAGTATCTTCCTGTTGGAAATAGACTGCATACTACAGAGAGAACCCCCTCACACAGAGATACAGACAAATATTAGTCATGTGCTTCCCAGAAATGCTTTTTATCAACTACAAACATTTGCTTTTCACTTTGCAGTCCATCACTACCATAAACAGTATGAATTTCTTTCTTATAAAACTGAGAAACTCGTGATCCCGAGATCTGCTGGAAGGAGATAATTTAGAAAAGTGAAATATATGAAACATCTGTTCCACCCTTTCCCATGTCATGATGGCAAGCAGCTGAAGCCTGACTGGACAAGTATTTTCACAAGAAAATTATTTGGGTCAAATTCACAGATAAGATGAAGTCTCTACTAGACAGCACATTACTTTCCACAGATATTAATACGTCTAGAGTATAATAATATGGAAAAAATAATCTGCATAAATATTCAATTTGTTCCAACTTTTTTTGGTCATTTTTGGAGGTGGCTTGTAGCACAATGCTGGACACCCTCTATCTCCATAATGTCAGCCTGACATTATTTCTTACATTTCCAAATCCTTCTTCACAGGTCTAATCTCTCTTTTGCTAGAATTCATCTTAAATTCCAGTACACACTATTTCATTTTGCAGTGAGTGAGTTGCCTATGATTGGAAATGGCCTTGAAGCAGAATTCTGGGTCTAAGCACATGTGACCTTTGAGAAATTTGTGTGAGGATTCCACCCAGTTTAACAGCTCAGCCCTATTCTTATCTGCAATGTAATCCCTCACAAGCCTCCAGAAACACACTAGATTGCAGATGTGCATCTCTGCTAAGAATTCCCCATCCATAATACAGTAGCCTGTAACTAAACCAGAGAGGAGTTAAGATTTTATTAAGATAGCTGTACCCAAAGCACCATATAAAGGAAAGGTTACCAGAGGTTCTGGATGGGGGAGGGAGAGCAGTGAGTCACAGTGCTGAGCCTCTGAAAAGCACTGCTAAGTGTCTGTCACAGCTCTTCCTCTCCACCACAGCATTTCTGAGAGAAGACAACTGAGTATTCAAGTGGCAAAACCAACACTCAGCCTTGTTGCAGCCTTGGGGGGGAAAAGCTGAGAAGTTCAAGATTTAAAATTTGTAACTAAAGAGCTGTCAGTAACATTTTTTTTTTAAATGCAGGATAGTCAGCTGCCTGGATCCTGTCGCTCATCAGCCCAAAGCAGAAATAATAAAACATAATTATATTAAATATGGAGCATTACAGGCAACAGCTTTCCAAGAACAATAGGAATCAAAAATTTGGAACTCATCCTTTGCAACTGATGAGTGGATGTAGTTCAGTGAGACACAGAGCAATTTCAAAGCCAGGAGGTAAAAAACCCTAGAAGATGTTTTGAGTCTCCATCTCAGTGGTAAGAAACACTTAATGTTTATTATAGGTCCACTGGAAAAACAACTTGGTAACAAAGCAGTTCAAGCCAGTAGAATGAAAGGTGAAAGACAAAGGATTTCATACTTAGAAACATACATCAAGAACTGCTTTTCAAATACGTCAAACTCTGATCTCACACACTACTTAACTTTGTGCACAGTGACCTCACTGAAGGCAAAAAGACTTTACATAGTTTCTAAATGTCAAATGCATACAAAATGTTTTAGAGAGCCCCTTTAAAATTTAAAGAAGCAAGGTCTTTGCTCTAAAAGTGCCTTCAGAATTGCATTTATTTTGGTAAAATCTCCATCACCAAAACAAATTTAAAAAAAACAAATCCTTTTATCAGGGCCAAGTTCTGTATGATTCACAGTGACTAACACTGTCTTGCCCTGTGAATAGACTTCTTTGTGCTCAAAGGCAGTAAGGGTAGTAAGATGTAATAATCTCATACTTGATAAATTCACACTTTCTCTGTATTATGAGCATATGCAGGACAAATTACTTGACTTCAACCTACAAGAAAATTCTCAGAAAACAGGTGTACATGGAGTTAAGCAGGGAAAGGAAAAAAAATAAGGTTTGATTCCAGCAAAATGTTTCTTGTCCTTATTTTCCTGTTTTTTTCTTCCTTCCTTCTTCGTTACCCTACAAGACAATCTATTAGAGTCAAAACAATGGGCTTGGTTTTGGGGAGCACATTAAAAACAGCAATGATGTACAAGGAGCTGTTTTATTCAAAACAGAAGACTCTCAACCAAAGTGTGAGGGAAGACTTTACCCAGAGAGTCTTTTTCCAACATACTCCCTTACAACATTCATCAATGCAATTAAAAGATTTTCAGTAATCATATTGTCCTTGCTAATGAAATGAACTTGTCAGTCTAAATTCGACTTTTGAGTACAATCCTCTGCAACTCTTTTTTTTAGAGAGATTCTCTGCTTCATCTCCAGGAAATTGCAACCAAGGACACAAAGCCAAAGCCAGGCAGGATCATGGAGCTGTCAGGATCACTGTGCCCTCCTTTTTCAGAGCCTCCCCCACCCTCATGCCCTGACCAAAGGGTGCTAATGCTAAATCAAAGTCTTGAGTACTTTCACAAGATGCAGACCCTTGAACATCATCTGGGAGCCTGGGATTTATCCTCTTGAAGGTAGAGTTGGGCCAGGTGACAGGACTGTTTATATTGCAAGATCTGTGGGGTGGGAGTTGTTCTTCTGTTACATAATTCAGAGTTAGACAGCAAAATCTGCCTGAAAGTCCAAAGGAAGAAGATTTAAGATGCCATTTATCAATTATCATCTGGCAAGTCCTTGCACTACTCCTCTTTTTGCTTTCTTTAAGTCAGTCATAGCACCTCTCTACTGTATAATGCAAGGAATACATATATAATGCTCTAACAATAACTGTCAGGCAGGAATCCTAACTAGGGAGAAACAGAACACACAAATAAAAAGAACTGTCTCTGATGGGACGGTATCTTCATTTCCAGAAAGACTAAAACTATCCTGTGGCCAGTTTTCATCTGAGAATACATTTTGCACAGATTCCACTCCACAGACTGCAATGGAAAGAACTGTGAGCTGCACTGAACTGGGCATGATTTTAAATAAATAATACTGGCCCTCACTTCTCACAAGGATCAACAAAAGCCCTTCACCTGTGTTGGTCATTTCAATCCAGATTTTTAAGGGGTTCTCTCAGAGGGTTTTGTTTTCAAAGAATTTTATTTCAAAGAATTATTCAAAGAATTATTGGAAGTGTATTTCACAGGAACTCCAGCAATCATATTTATGCTCCAAAATGATATTTTGCAGCAACACACTGTATCTGTGAATTCCACTGCTCACGGGAACAACTGTGTTCAGGAATGCACAATGGAGGCAGGAGATAGGTTCAAGATGTTTCGAGGCTGGCTGAATTACAGACAGATGTACATAACAGCAGGTCCAGTCAGAATGAATTAAAGCAGAAATGTACATAAGAAAATAGACAAAATCATACTGTTATAATTAACATACCTTGCAGTGACACCTGTGGCTTTCCAAGATAAGAAATCCGGAAGATCAAAGAAGTAGCCAACCTTCTTCCATGATTCTGGCAAGTTCTAATAAAAATATGTTTAGAAGGCCAGATATTAGAGCTCATGCATGGTCATGTCGTTATTTTAATGCAATTAAAATCCTAATATTTAGGAAAAAAACTACTGTTTTTTTTTAAACTCATTGTTCTGATCATCCAGTCAGCTCTTCTCTCTGATTTACAATCTGGAGAACTGAGCCCTTCCCCCAGCACAGACTGATCATAAACAAAGCTCCCCATGAAGAGTTCATGGACGCACAAGTTTCAGATCAATAACCTGGGGTGTCTCTGTTCCCCATCAGCTGCTCAATGTCAGAGCAGTTTCAAAGTCAACAACTTTATCAAAAAAATATTTGCCTGAAAAATGTTCTGTTTTCTAAAATAAGCCGTTTAAGATTTTAAAATGTTTAAAATTAAAGATTTAAAATGTAAGATTTGTTAATTAGAAGCATAGGAAGGAAACAAAGAGCTCTGTGAGTGCAGAAACCAAGCTTGCAGATCACGTGGCTTTCTGAAAAGCTACACAACAGTCCCAAACTCCTAAAAAACTCTTCTACCAAGATAGATCATTTATAAGGAGTTTCCATCACTGTTCTCTGCAGAGAGATGATGGTCCAGAAAGCAAGAAGACTCTCAGAAAAGGCTGGTCATAACACCTGGGCCAGGCTCTATTCTTTGTTTCCACCTCCAAAGCTCAGTCTGATTTCAGCTGATGTTAGCATGGCATATTCTCAAAACTACTTTTCCCCAATCTCCACACCACCCACAGATACCAGACCATGATGAAAGGGAAGAAAGTTTCCCCAGGAGTAATGTTGTATCCAGTGTGACAGAGAGTGAGCATCGCTGTCCTGCAAAGCAATCCCAGTGATCACCTCTGACCTCAGTACATTAATACAGGTAGAGAATATCAAAACTAAAAAGCACACAAGGGTCACAAATCAAACTTCCATAGGAGGATAAGATTGCTTGAAAAACCTCCACCAGCTTCTTAAATAATTGAAAAGTGCCAAATTTTCTCACTTAAGATCAGCTCCTGCACTAGAAACACAAGCCCTTGATGGGGTCTTTCTGGAACAGAAAATAATTCCATTCAGTGTCAAGAATGTACAGGCTGAATTAAAAGATAACATGATTCCATTTTAGAGAAATAATATTTTGCTCTTGAAATTCTTCCCTGCGAGGGTGGTGATGCCCTGGCACAGGTTGTCCAGAGAAGCTGTGGCTACCTCATCCCTGAAGTGTCCAAGGCCAGGTTGGGTGGGGCTTGGAGCAGCCTGGGACAGTGGAAGATGTTCCTGCCCACGGCAGGGGTAGAATGGGATGGGCTTTAAGGTCCCTTCCAACCCAAATCATCCTGTGATTCTATGATTCTATAGCATAATTTAGATACTCTGTGATATTAAACCAAAATCTTACAAGTCCAGAAAGTTGCTGAAATGGAATCTGTGAATTGGAGAAACTAAGGTGCAACTGGGTAAGTACAAAAAAAGCAAAATTTTGTTTAGTTTTGAGTCATGCCAAGAATCTGTCTTAAAACTTTTTGAGTTTAGACCTTGAAAAGGTTCTAAAATTTACTGGGTTTCTATTGAGTTCAAAAAATAAATGCTCTGATTACAACTTTTTCATAAAAGACAAAACCTTTGGATGTCTATTCCCGACCACTCAGCTTTAGCTCACCTCCCAGATATATGAGGTTGCTACTCACATCAAATTTAACTTCCTGTATGAATGCCAAGTTGCTCCATAATTTAGCTCAAAGATCATTCAGCCTGATTATTTTGATAATAAAAGCCATTATGTGTTGTTAACACACCTGAGAGCCTTCAAGAAGCAACAGGAGTAGTCTGGCTGTTACTTTAATCAGAAAAGAAACTGAATTAAGAATAACTATGCTCTTCAAATAAATCTGTTTCATCAAATATACTCCTTGGATCCTTATTCTATTACTTCAAGAATTCCCAAAAGCCACAAGTTAGTGACACTCAAAATACTTTGTTTCATGAACATCCAAATGATTCATTTTTTGCCATCTTGATGCTGTGTCATCGCTAATTAGTACAGACAAAAAAAAATCATAGCACGCCCTGATGCATTTTCCAAACAAATTTAAAGTCTCCATGTTTTCGACACTCACTGAAGTTAATTCAAATTTATTTTCACCCAGTCAGGAGTCTGTGACCACATTAAAAGGATTGTGGAAAAGATCCAGGAACGTTCCCAATGCTGTATTCACATCCTGCAACTCACCCTCCAAACTCACTTGCAAAGGAACTCACAATCTTTCTGCTTTCCAGAGGTACTTATGGGGTGCTCTATCTTCATATCTCTCTCTGTGCTTTTGGGTTGCTTTAACAGCTACACCTCCACAGAATAATGTTTTGAGATTGTTACAGGCCATCAAATACTTGAGGTCAAAGAGGTTAAGAATCATGTAGTGCAACGTATTTTAATCTTCCTAGGCGGGAAGGGAAAATGAGGGATTTCTTCATTGGACTGAAAATACACAAATAGGGTGTCTTTTTCTAAATTACAGAAAACAAATTGTGTGAAAGGAAGAAAAGGAACAATGCAATACTTAATGCACACACTGACAGGGATCTAAAACCTCATGTCCCATGCCCTGCTTCAACTCAAAGCAAGGATTTACAACTTGGATCTTCCACACTTCACACTGGATGCCAAGCCATGTGACAGAGCTATTCCCAGACACCCAAGATAGGCCATGAGCAGAAATTCTATCCTTGCCAGAGCCATGGCTGCAAACTGATCAATTTTGTCACAACCTGCACTCTAACTGGTAACATATTATCTGACTGAATTATCAGAGTCAGGAACACAGGGAGAGGAGGGGCTTGGAAAGTAAACTCTTGGAGTAAGGCTGCTGCTGAAGGCGGAGAAAACTGCCTGCACCACGCAGACACTGCAGCAGGCATCCTTAAATCCCTGAGGCATCCCAGGCATGGCACCACAGGCAAGGCAAGCACCAGAGCTCAGGCCAGAAAAGGCTGCAGAGGACAGAGCAGACACATGGAATCAGAGCTGGAGAAGCTGGAAGAAGGCAGGGAGGACAGTGTGTGCCTGCTGGGAGCCTTGTCCCACTGCAGAGGAGAGGAGACACAGTGGGGACAGCCCAAGCAGGACATGCTCAGAGGTGCAGGTGCTTCAAATCTCCCAGCTGTGAGTGCTGTTTCTAAACAGCACTTCTGCTTGATCAGCAACTGCAGCTAAAATCCAGACTCAGTCTGAAGTACAACTTATTGCTTGCGTGTCTGCACTGTGTATGGATTGTGATAACACAGAGTGTTGAAACATTTATAAACAATTCTAAACAAGAGTTCAGTTCCAAACTCAACAGCCTGGAGTCGTTCTCATTTAACACAGAATTTATTATTCATTTTAATGGAAAAATATTCAGTCACATTCAACAAGACAAAAAGCCAGCTGCAAGGGCAGCAAGCAGTGAAGAAGACACGCACCAGCAAAGGAGCTGCTGCCAAGCTAATGCCACTACATCCACTATCCTTCCCCCCACTGCCAGGGAAAGAGGTTTTAATGGTTTCTGCAAATGATCCCACTGGCAGCTGCAAGTCACGTGTGTATAGAAGGAAGAAGGATGATGGATCAAACAGCAGCTCTAACTGAGGATGTCAACTGTGACATACAGGAAGATCACTGATTGCCAGAAAAAAAAACTACTCACTGACTATTGATTTTAGTTATTAATGCCAGAGGAATGACATGGTAAACAGTAGCTCCATGGTTTGGGGTTTTTTTCCTAAAGAGGGGCCCTTCTTCGCTCTTAAATATGAAATTAAGAGCAGAGCTGTGAAAACAGAATATGAAAGACTGCACTTCATTTAGAGGCAGTTACCAAGCAAATACCTACCCCCAGTCCAACACCCCCCACCCACTTAAAATAAACAATAAAGTTCAGCATCTCTGATTTAATGGGACTAGTATTTTTTAGAAATAGCTGGTTTGTAATGTCATCAGTATGAAGAAAACATAACATGCATCCTTTCATTTTGGCACAAGCTATGAAAACATTTTCAGCCAGAAATTAGTAAACAACATTTTTTTCTTCTGCTATCTCTAGGGAAAAAAAATACTAACAGGCTAATTCTGGAGCTGGATAACTCTTCCCTGCAGTTCTTGCATTGCTGTGTTTGAGCTGTGTTCTCACTGCTCTAACACTGGTTTGCCACAGCATCGATATCTGTACAGTTGCGTTGTACTGACAAACTCCTGCAGCAAAATAATGTACTCACATTTTCAGCTCACATACCCTAAAGCCTCTAGTCTTTAGTTACATCTCTATGCTGTGTAGGAAGATGAAATGTTAAAAGAGAAAGCATTTTATGGAAAAGAAAGCCAAAACGAAGGAGATGAGAGTAACTTGTGACTTGGAAGAACACCTGTAGCAGCACTCCACAAATAAATACAAGGGGAGAGAAAGAAGAAAGCTACAAGAGATAAGGACCAGTATCTACTCCTTGTGCAGTGGTGTCAGCTCATTCTTCTCACTGAGTGAGGTCATCGGCAGCTTCAGTTCCAGGAACAAGGTGATGGAAATGGAAAAAGCACAATTAGGTCATTATTGAATCCCAGACTGGTTTGGGTTGGAAGGGATCTTAAAGCTCATCCAGTTCCACCCCCTGTCATGGGCAGGGACACCTTCCACTATCCCAGGTTGCTCCTGTCCTCCTGGCCTTGGACATTTTCAGGGATAGGGCAGCCACAGCTTCTCTGGGCAATAGACTCAGCACCCTTACTTACAGGGAAGAATTTCTTCCCAAGAATTTCTTCCCAGCTAATCCTGCTCTCTACCAGTGGAAAACCATTCCCTCTTGTCCTGTCAGTCCAGGCCCTTGTCCAGAGTCCCTCTCCAACTGTCTTGTAAGTCACCTTCATCCTTTCCTCCTTCTCCTTCTTCTTCATTACTTCCAACCAATTCACATTAAATTTGCAAAGTCATATTCTTTAGAAATACTTTTAATTGCTTAGATGAAAATTCATCAAAGCACAGAAATTCCCCTTGTCTTTGAGAGACATCCTAATCACTCACAACTTACCAGCAGTGCTGATTAGACCCATGTCAAACCCCTCCTCACAGAGATCAGGTTTGCAAATACTGTTTTTAGGAGACCCCAGGGCAAAACATGAGACAAGAATATCTCCTAATGTGGCCTTCCAGACCTAGGTTAGCACCACGGAAAGGGAGAGAGAGGCTTTGGTAACAATGTACACACAATTAACCCCTTGGTGTAACTACAGATCAAGCATCATTTAGTATCAGTACTTTAAATAACTTCCTTCCAAAAGTGCATCTAGTAATCACTGAAATTTATATTTTATTTATTTTCTCTTTATTATTTAATTTCTGTTTTATTATTTCACTTCAGATGTAAAGCAGTACTTTTCCCCACTGCACTATCTCTGCAAAACCCACACCAATGCAAGCAGCTGTGGAATGTGCACAGCACCAATCCCAGGCAAAGATGTACAGAGGGAAAACAGCAAAAACATTTAATAGCAGAAACATTAAATTCCTGGGGAGTTCAAAATAAGGTCCAGAGAATTCAAAGCAAAAGTCAACAGTGATTCTTCATATATTAGGGTGTACGTGCTGACCTGGAGCATGACTGTGCGAAGTGTCTGGCTGTGGGTTTTGCTCTGCTTTGTTTTCTTCACAAACATCCCTGTGTTGCAGGCATGTCAAGCTTTCTTATCAAAAACTTTCCAGAAACATGATGCCAACCAAAGGAACAAAGGCTCAGAGTAGCTTCTCGATACACCTTGGTTTAGCCAGTTTTGATCATGGTCAGACATAGGAGAATGTGCCGAATCCACTGTTTTTGTTTTAACTTCCTGGGATGCTGTCAGGTATGTGACAACATTAGGGAGGAATATTGAGAAAGGAATAAGGAAGAAAAGGAAAAAAATAACCCATCACACTACACTCAATAGTCAGGAAAGCTGGAGAGACCAAAACCACAATCACAGCCAGGCACAGTGTGGGGAACACTGTGTAAAACTTTCCCAGGCAGTAACCAGGTCAAACCAGGTACAGTGCACTCATTTTCTGAACACCAGTTACCATAATTAAGTAGAAACACAATGGGAATTTCAGTTTCAACTTTGCAAAGCCCTCAGATAGTAAAAAAGGATAGAATAAAGATAAAATGTGTCTTTCTATCTGCTAATCTTGCAATTCTCCCATGGGATTTGAAAACTAAGCTTCCTTATTGCCAGCTTGTGCATTATCACTAGCTTAAGAAATAATCCTGTAGTCAGAATATAAAGTATATTTTCACTGTGGTGTGTGAGCTAGATCAAAATCTCACTCTGACATTGGGAAACACACTAAACACAGAAAATAAAGATGATACAACTCAAAAAACAGGAAGAACACATTAAATACCATTCTGGTTTTTTCCTAACCACACCTGTAATATCTGTGTCACAGTTTATTGATATATAAAATATTGATAACAAAGAATCTGAAGAGACTTAAATAATTTATATTTGTAGCCCACTTCAAGACAGTCCACTGTGAAACAACAGATGTGGAAACTGCTGTTGTAGGTTTCATCTGAACAACCTGACTTTAAAAGTTGTTGTAAGATTCGCCTTCCTTGGCAAAAAGTGAGGACACTTGCATTAGATGAGGCTGTGTTTGAGTTCTTAGAGCTTGACTCTTTGCTGACAGCCCTGATGTCAGGTAAGCCATGGACGCATTGCTGTGCCTGGCACTGAAAATAAATCCTCCCTCTTCATTTAATTCCTTTCCCCCTCCTACTTTGCAAGGAGTACAGAAGCAGTAAAACCACTCACACCTCTCCAGAGCTGAAAGGTTTAGCCAAATCTCAGCAGATTACAGCCCCCTCCAGGATGAGTGTTACTGCTCCTGAGCAGCTGAGGTGCTCCTGTGGGTGCTGAGGTGCCCAAGTTAAGCAGGGCAAGCTTAAGCAGTTTAATGGTGAGTCATGCCCAGAGCACTCAGAGCACAGGAATTGTCGCGTGGGCAGCTCAGCAGGCAGACACTGAGGTAAAAAGCCCTCTCTTAAGGACAATAATCTCCTTAGCTGGTATGTCAGGAGCTGAAAAGGGACAGGTGAGCAAGCCTTGTTCTGTACCACCCTTCTGCCAGGAAATCCCTGCTGTTGGCTGGCACCTGGGCTCAGGAGAATCCTGTGTCCCACCCACTGGCTCAGGGAGGGAACAAGCCCTGCAATGCTCTCCACTTTACACCACAGCAATTGTGCACAGGGCTTTGAGGTCACAACAGACTCACACCTCCACATGACCACATTTGGATATCCCATAATCTGGATTTCCTGAGCAGCCAGGTACTGATATCCCAGACCTTGCAATATAAAAATGCTTTAAATGCAAAGGATTCATTTAATGTTTTTACAGCTTACATTTTATTATTTATAAAATGACTGATGTATGAGAAGGGAAGAACTAGGAGATGGATAGTCATATATCATTATCAACATTCATTACCCTCTATTATTATTAATCTGTCAGTACCTGCTTCTACCAGTTGATTCCTTTGACTTTCCCCAGTCTGCACCTTGTTACAATATAATGTCTCATGTCTGTAAGGACAGAATTTGGCTGCTTGAAACTGGCAGCAAGTAATTTACATTTGGGCTTTGTTAAAATGACAGTGAGCATCATTGAGGCCAAATGTAAAAGGCCAGGCTGGAGGAGGTTATAGAAATTTCAAGTGGCAAGTGTCCCTCCTTTTATCTGACAGTTGTTATGAAGAGGCCATAGATCATTGTAACACACCAAATTTAAAGACAGGAGACAGAGGTAGAGCTCCACATTACACACAGGGCACCTTCCCTCTACACATGGTTTATTCCTGCTGATGGGACAGAACTAAACTGAAACTGGAAGTGGAGAGTTCCTCTACCAACAGCCAAGGCCATCACACCCTGCACTGCTGGATGCCCCAAAGGCACTCCTCTGGCACTCCAGGCTCCAGCTGGAGTAGGAAATACACCTCCGTAACTAAATCCTAGGATACTTCATTTATTATCTGTACCTCTATTTGTATGTATATCTAATCTTAGATAAGGAAGACGTATGGAATGTTTCTCTCAGGAAACACTCAATTTCAATAAAATCAAATATATTTCTACAAAATTGAGAGGAAGAAAGAACCTCAACAGGTTTAAATCACAGCTTAAGTCTGATCTTATTCTGCACACCTTGGTGCTCAATGCTAAGACTGAAGACTTTTGTTTTAGAAATCCCATTCTCAGGAATTAACAAAGGCACAAATCACTAGTAAAAATGTACCAGTGTTAAATGTACTCACTTCCTTTATCCAGAGCAATTTAGGTGGCTGCATTTCCACAGACAGGGCTCCCCCTACATAGTTCAGAACTCTGTGCTGGGTTGCATTGATGCGCTTGACTTGGCTTGCTGCACGATGGTCCATCCACATGATCACATTCCTATGGTTCTGTCCTTGGGGGAAAAACAGAAAAAAAAGTTATTTTAGCTCTGGTTTAACCCCAGCTCAGTACTGTAAGTTACTAGGCTCTAAACTGCTTTGCACTTTCACTTCTACACTGAAAACTCAAATTCTTTTTGTGTTAATGATTCACAGTGGGTATCCAAAAGTAAAATTTTAGCCCTCTGAGCCAACTTTAGGACATGCTGAGCACTGAGAATGCTGTCTGAAACCAGTCTGGCTTGTGAGCATCCAGGAACTGTGAAACACCATGATCTCTTGTATTTCATTCAAAGAACCCAAACTTCCTGACAAAGTACACATATTTAGTTAAAACGACAAAGAAACATTTTGGTGACCAAAAACTAAATTGTGACAAGATCTGAACAATTATGTTGTGAATTGAAATTAACTCAATCAGCTACAGGGATTCTCTTTCCTCTTCTATGGTTACGAGAAGAACCATCCCTAATTCCTTTCCGAAATACTGTTTCAAGGGGGATAATTTGCTGAAATGCTTTTATTTTGGATGTGCAAGGAAAAAGCATTTGGCAAGACTGCATCACACACAAATGAGAACAAGAAGCAAAGAACATTTTATCCAAATTAACCTCCAGAGGACCTGCCAGACAGAGAGAACAGTAATCCAGGTGACACTGCAGATTCCTCTCTGGCTAAGTACACTGCACACTCCACAGCACAGCCAATTGAGCATCATCTTGAAAACATAGTCCAAAACAAGGCAGAAGTGTGAGGCACATCAGTATTTCTAAAATGGATTGAAATACAACTCAGAACTGTGAAACTGCCTGAAACACCACCAGTGCAAGACTCTGCACAGCATTACAGTATTGAGTGAATTCTTGTCTTGTTGTTTAGCACCACCACTGTGTAAACTCAAAGTTCTTGGGGATATCAGAGCACAAAAAATGAGAACTGAATTTGACTCATTAGACCCAAAATAACCCCAGACATCATTAGGCATTGAACAGATTGTAAGAGACTCTCAAACTGAAAAATAAATAATCCGATCTAAATTTAGAGAAGGACATTTTGGGGGCAAAGCTGGTTTTTTAAGAAGGATAGGAGGAGATGACAAACACATCTGAGAATAGAAGGGGAGCATACACAGAATTATGATTATGTCTTTGTAACTGCTGATATAACACACACCTAATCTTAAGTGGAATTCACTGGGTAAAAGAAGTGCAGCACAGGCTTTTTGTGATTCTTCTGAATCATCTACCCAAAAATTAATGAAAACTCCCCCAGATTTTTAGAAAAAGGTCACAGACTGTTTCTGATGTTTAGCACTGTCCTAGACAAAGAAAGAACACTAGTATAATACAATACAGAAACTGAACTTGCCTGCAGCTCCATGACAGAGCAAGCAGTTAGACTACACTAACACTAACATTTTTAACATTCCTTTAGCCAGTGAGCAGTACAGTCTGAAGGAGAAGAAAACATGCCGAAAAGAAAAATGAGCATGGATTTCCCTACGAAGCAATTTCTCAGCGCCAAGATGAATGAATGTCATCTTAGGATGCCAAATATTTAACCAAAGTAAGTAATTCTCATCTCAGATTTAATTTTGCAGTAAAATTAAAACAATAAAACCAGGGGAAAAAATCCTCTTATAAAAAAGAGTTTGTGTCATCTCCATCTCCAAGAGTCAGCCCCACCACTTGGCATTTGGAGGACAAGGAAAGTTCCCTCCCATCAGTGGTAAAACTCACACAGCAGCACCACGTTTTGTGTGGAGCCATACCTTCAGAGTTGACTGCCAAAGGCTGCAACTGTTTATCCACCACAACAAGGGAACAGGTAGCATCAAAACCAAGCCCTCGGATCTGGCTGGCATCCACTCCACGGACAACTTCCTGAAAATACACAAAACACACAGGAATACAAATATATCCTTGCATGTGCAAGTGCCATCTGAACTATTGAGTACACAAAAGGAGCTACAAGTTAGCTCAAACTCTGAAATTTCCTAAATTCAGTGTTCTTTAAAACTTTGAATCATAAGCCCATCAAATTACCAGAAATTCTTTGTGTTTCAAATCCAGATTCAGAGGTCTTTATCCACAGTCCTGGATAAAAGTAGGAAGCAAAAAAAATCAGTAAAAAAAGGCAGCAGAAAACTTGCAATGTCAATTTTCTCTCTTTTCTAAAGCTCGGAGGTGAGCTGGATATGAAATACAGACCAGGATTAGGACCAAGTGTTTCCATCAGTTACTTCATTGAATTCCTGCCTGTGGAAGCAACAATCTTCCAGAATTGCTTTGGTAAAATTGTGTTTGTCTTGCAATACTGAACAGTCCCAAAACTAAAGTTGGTCAAAACCTGTAGCCTCGATAACACCTCTGCAATGCACACCTCTGTTCAGCTACCAAGAGCATGAACAGCACACTTTTTGGAAGGTTTTCAAAAATAAAAAAAAAACCTAACCATTGCCCCAAAATGCCTGAACCTCATGGTTTCCAGCAGCACTGGAAAAAAAAACACAACACCCTCAAGGATTAAGTGCCAAATGAGGTTGCAAGACACCTAAAATGTAGCACGGTAATAAATTGCCACTTCTCAGGAACAATAAAAATATCATTATTTTAATTAGTACTATAAGGAAAGACTTTCAGTAGACTTGCAGAGTGCCAATCTCTTACTGGCTCTGTAAAACTGCAGTTTCTGAGACCATTTTATTGCTTAAATATAAGAGATTGCATTTACAGAGGCCCAGAGCAAGAACAAAGCCACTCAGAGAAAAATCAAATAAGCAGAGGAAGACTTGTCCTGCTTTAACGTCAAGCTGTTTTTCCCTATCACTCCTGCCACTCCCTTCTTTTCCTTCCATCCACTCACCCCCTCTGCTCCATCTCAGGGCATTTCTGCAGAGCCAAGCTCATTAATGATTGAAAAGGCTGATCAATAACAAGACAATGGGTGAACAGTCCATCTGCAAATTACCAAGTGAATCATGAATATTTAAAAAGCCAACCTTAAAACGTGCAGAAGGCAAGGGCTGTAGTGAAGAGATGAAATGGCCCTGTGTGCAATGCAAGCAAGGTCTCTAATTTACCTTTATCTCCAGCATGTACAGGCAGAGCCCTGGATCAGAAGGTACAAATTTTCCCCTGTAGTAAAGTCTATTTCAATCTGGTTTTATGTTTGATACTATCCACAGATATTTATTTTGGTCTTATAATATTGGAACCTCTTATAATGAGGATAAAAAGTGTTCCTTTAGGGGCCATCCACAAACCAGATTTCAATTTCTCTACAATAAATACTCCTTTATGACCCCAGAGCAGCCCAAAGCAGATCTCAAGATATATGCACTGCCAGGTTCTGAGCAACCTTGACTCCTCCAAGAACTGTCATATGCCAGCTAAACAAAGCTCACAGATGTGAGACTTGAAGACAGTGGGTAAATCCTCCCTCTGCAGTAACAGCACAAAATGTCTTTGATTCTATTTGCAGTTGTAGCATGAGTTTTTTCACTCTGGCCCTCAAATCCTCACCAGTAAAACAGATATTTGTGAGGCTGCATCAGCCCCAAGGTGCCTTTAATGCACAAGGGTGGTCACAAGTTACACAGCACAAACAGACCTGAGTGGAAGTGACAGGCATGGGGACTGCAGGACCGTGAACATTCAAAATTTGCAGAATCACCTGCAACACAAATCCTTCATTTTGTCCTTGCCCACCTTTGTGACAGAGCAGCAGGCAGCCCAGATGTCTGCAGAGGATTGCTCATAGTGGTCTGGCCGTGGCTCCCAAATCTGGATGGGCTGTTCTGCATGTGCCACCACCGTCCCAAACCCGTCCACCAGAGCCGCGCGAACGCTGGCTGAGCCCACGTCAACTCCAACGTAGTATTTCATTGCAGTCTGCTTCTCACCTGGCATTTTTAATAAAACCTGCGGAAGGAAAAGAAAAAAAAGGGGTTAAAAGCAGATAAAATGACTGATGGAAAAAGTGCCAAGAGAGTGCTGCCTCCCATGAAGCCAAACATCCCACCTGTGGTACCATGCTGGTAATTATAAAGTAACTATGTGACAGTCAGGTACATATTACCCAGATGAAAAAAAGAATAAATAAAGTTTCCAAGAGCTCTCTACCATCAATTCACACCGCTTTAAAGACTCAGAAAATAATTTTCTGAAAATGTGTTGAGTTATGAGAGCATGGAGTGAAATCTCTGCCTACTCTGACATCCTACAAGAACAAAGTGAGGTTAAGTTAATTGATTTAATTATTCACAATGAGTAGCTTATTTCACTATATTAAGTTTAACTATTTGACATTTAATACAGTGACAAATACACTGTTCCTAATTTCTCACAGCTTGTTCTTAATTAATAGTTAACATTTACATTTTAATCAAGCTGTGAGAATGCTAAGAGCTGATAGAAGTATTTGAAACATCAGACAAGTACCACGTTTAATGCTTGTATGAACCTTTTACATCTCTGAAACACATGAAACTCAGCTGACACATAGCTTCTGATATTCAGAAAATTAATGGATAAATTGGTATTTAAAACACATGGTATTTACAGAGCATCAAAATGGCTCTACTTAAAAACAGCCCACTTCTCCTAAAGAAGTGACCTGGATAATTTCTGGATATGGCAGATGGGGTGGTTAGAGGGAGGAATATAGACAAAGGGGGAAAGATTTGGAAAGTCCTGATTAACCAAATATGATTATTCACATTTCAAATTATTTTTTTTTCTTAATAATAACATTGAGTGCAGGTCAAGAACTACAGGCGCAATGTACGTGTCTGTCACATCCATGGCTGGCTTGTAACCACTGCTGCTGATGGATATCACAAATCTACAATCATTGAGGGTTAGAGACAGCAAGTGAAATAGAGAAGAAAAAAAGAAGCCCCCTATCTTGGGAAATTTTGGATAATAATTCATTAGGACAAAGTTTAATTTGCACTGAAAATGACATAAAACAATGTCATGGCTGAAGAAACCAACTGAGGCTTCCCTTCCTTCCACCCCTTAAACAGCTCATGGAAACGTGGTCAGTCTGTGGAGTTCTGTTATCACACAATCATTTTTTCCTGCTTCAGTCTGGCATTTTATGCCCAGATCCCACTGCTGGGTCCAGGGTCCATGGTTTTGTTCTTTGCTTGGCCAGCACGAGGGAGTTCTGTCCCTGGTACAGACCAACGCAGTCACCACACCGCACTCTGCTCACACCGTGCAGGGTCACCAGAGTAGCTGCACAGATCATCAGCTTCTAATACTGTCAGAAAGTAGAAAAAACTCCAAGCTACAGAGCATATTGTGGTCCTGCTGGAAATCCTGGCTGCTGCCTGCCAGCATACTGGTTCTGCCCAGCAGATTAGGTGCAACACGCACTAATCTCGTTAAGCAAGGTCATGTGTCCAAGTGATGAGCAATCAGCTAAAAATAATGGTGTGCCATGAGTCTAACACCTAGGAATATTGGCAAGAAAGCCAGCTTTATTTTCTTGGCCCTGGCTCTGTGACCTGGTCAGAGGAACAAAAGCCAATCCCTCTGCCAGAGAGGACAACTCTGCTGCTACGGGTGATTAATACTGCATCTGTCACCTGCGGGTGACAGCACTCAGCTTCTCCCTCTTAGCCCTCAGCTGGAAAAGCAGTTTTAAGACATTCTTTCCAACATGGTATTTACTTCTTCATTTTGCAATCCACCTCCAAAGCTCCAAAGGCTGGCTGCAGGTGCTGCAAGTTCCTTGTGAGAAATTTTACTACAAAGGCATTGCATAATACTGTTCCTGATACTATCTCACGAATTTCCCTGTTTTTCCCCTATTTCGGCTCTGCCTTTAGCTGCTGACTCACAAAAAGTTGAGAATAAACCACAAGCTGCAAACCAGATTCTTTTTTTTTTTTAAACACGGGCAAATCCTTCTTACTTGCTTTTCACAAAATACAAATAGCAAAAGGGGTATTTTATATCCTGCCTCCTGCTCACACACAATATTACTCCAAATTTCTCTTCCTTGTATGGCAGCCTTGATTTTAGCTCATTAATGTGTTTTTGCTACTTAGAGAACAAGCTTAGCAGATGTTAGAGAATTAAGCTCACAGTACCTCCTACTCAGCACTTGAAATTATGGCTTTGCACTGGATTCTTCCCACAAACATTTGAAACCTGGAACCCAATCTGCCCATGTAATGTTTACTTTCCTTTTTTCTCCTTACTAAGCAACCAGGATGTGCCTGTGTGAGTGACTGGGCAGGAAGCAGAGTTTGTTTGTGTGCTTGAGCAGTGCATATCAACCTTTGCACATCCACCAGTTTATTGCTGTCAGTCAGTGGGAACAGGAAAGAGTTAAGTGACAGTACAAAAGCAAGAACCCCAAACTTATTTTAATTGGTCTCTTTCTGAATAAAGCTCACCTAGATGCACAAAGCAGCACTCAATATCTCATTAAAAAACAAGGCTAAAAGTAAATATTAATCCTTTCTTAAGAACAGCAAGCACTAAGTTACAGAGGCTTTTCAAAATAAAGTGTCTCTGCAACAGGATCTGATCTGCTTGCAAAAACATAATTTGATGCCAAGGGTTTTTTTGGAATACCAAACACTTGCTATGCCACCTACTTATCAACCCCATCCACAAAAAGCACTGTCATCTCCCGGTCATAAATGTCAGCAATTATGGACTCTGCCCAAGGGTATTTCTTGAGAACCTAAGAACTCAGCAGAGAAGCTGATGGAAAATATTTAGCCAAAGTACAGTGATAAGAATTTTAAAAAGGAATGTTGTCATTCTATTTTGTTTCCAAAAGCTTCCTTCGGTACAAGAGGAAGCTCCAAATCGGAGCTGAAAGAACTCTTTAATGGAGTTCAGGGATAGCAGAAGGTCCCTGCACAAGCTTCTTGCTTTGGAATTTGGACACCAACCTTCACTGCCACGTGAAAACTGTTGTGCAAATAAAACAGTTTGGATTTTTTATCTACTGGATTCTTAGCTTCTGCAGGCAATACAATCATGAGGAAAAATGAACCAGAAAAATTACTGAAATAAAATGTCCTGAAAGTCCAGTCAGACAGGTCAGTTCATCAAGCACAATATTCCTAACATGACACCAAAATATTTTATGCATGGATGATGCATGTTCATGGACTTCCAAGGGGTGGAAGGCAGTGGAGATAGTACCTTCTAAATCCCTGAAGTATATAAACTCAGGAAGCCTGGCTCCTTGCAGACAAGAAAAAAAGGCCTCCAGAACTTCAATACAGCCTTGTCTGTCCACTGCAGAATTCAAGCCTCATATTTTCAACTTATTATCTGAACTTGCAAACACAAGGAGAGGGAAAGAGGAAAAAAGTAAAATTAAAAGACATGTCCAGCTTGACCGTGTTAATCCATGACTGTAACTGCTAAGTGAGGACAAGAAGCCAAAATTCCCTCCAAGTACTAAACCAGCAATGGCCTCTTTCCCTGCAAATCACAGCAGGGACAGAATGGCTTTTCAAACAAGCATTTATGATCAAAAAGCTACAGCATATGATAAATATTTATATGGCCCATTAAAGAATAGTCTGTATAAATATTATTCAAAATGTGCATGCTGGAAACCACAGACTTCCCAGTTTATCCTTATACAAATGTGTTAGTTTTCCCACATAGGCAATGAAGAAAGAAAAAGGAGGGGTGAAACTCAGTTGCAAAAATATTAAAAATTTAAAAAAAAATCCTTAACATTATTTACTTTAAAAGGAATGGGTAAGTAACCAGAGGAGTTTTTCATGAGCACTGTTAGACTTGTCTGTCCAACTTCACCTCACGGTTATTGAGCTGCCAGGACCTACCTTTCTGTTAAAGCCACGAGGCAGGAGGGGCTGTACTCTCACATCAGCACAGGCCCAAGCTCAGCACAAGCTTTCAGCAGCAGCAATTTAGACTTTGTGGTGTTGTGTGCTTCAACACAAGGAATTAGGAAGGACTGGCGTGTCTGTTTCAAACTTTGAACTCTGGAACGCTGTGGGCTGCCCAGACCCAGTGATTGTGGATAAACTGTGTGTTTTTAGTAGTGCAGCTGTGATTTCCTATGCGTTACCAAGAAAAATATTAACAAGCTCAAATTAGGCTCCATAAGCTTTGTGTGAAAAGATGTAAACATGCTAAAGGAAAGCTGCTTTTCAACTGTAGAAACGACATAAAGCAAAACAAGCCCTTTTGACATTATACTGGAAATTCAGCACTTTGTTGGCTTGCTAGAGTTAAGTAACCAATACAAGTGGTGGTGTTAGAGTGGCAGTATCTCCTTGAAGACAGTGAACTCCCTTTCCTCTTCCAGCTTCTGTAATTCCTGTTGGAACATGGAAAGAGAAAGAAGGCACATGTCTGTGTGGGAGAGCAGGAGCAGATGGGGAATTCTAACGCTGTGGTGAAGGGCAGTACTAATATAGAAAATATCCTTAAATGCCCAAGGGACTATGCTATAACTATCAACAAGCATTTATTTTTCAGCTACCCCACAGCAAACAAAACAAACACAAGGAACAAAAGCACTCCTCACCTCCCCTTTTCCCTTCCCCAAACAGTCTTAGGAATGTGAGGACTATGTTAACAGTAACAAAACTGGAATAAATAAAAATGGAGCTGGGGAAAACATGCTTCTTCACTGAAAACCAAACACCTCTAGATTCTTTCATCAGTTCTCTGGTACATTCTGTGAAGCCTTCTCACATCTTACAAGGAGAAACAGTTTCAAATACTGGAAGATTTCTGTAGTAGGATCCAACCCTGACTCCACTCCTATAAAATTTAGATTGTTCCATCCAAACCTTCCTAACTCTCCCTCTAACATTGTAATGCAGTGTCAATAAATCCCAGCATGGGCAGGACTGAAAATATTCTACTATTTTCTAGTATCTCCTTTTCTCTCTATAAATAATTCACCATGTACTAATTTGCTGTAATGTCTCTCCAGATCTTTTTTCTTCCCCTTGCTTTCAGTGTCCAAGACAAAGTCATTACTTCATTGCTGCCCTCTGCCCTCTAATTCTGTCTTTTGGATTTTAAATATTTTCAGGCCAAACTACTTCCACCTGCTCTGATAAAAAGCAAGGCATATTCGGGTTTATCCTGGTGTAACCAGTAAGTGGAGAACTGAAAATGACTAAATTATTCTAAAAAATTAGATCCAAAAACTTTTTCTTTTCAGCTTCTACTGCCTACATAGTTCTCTCACTCAGGAACAGCAGAAGGATGTCAGCATGACCAGTGTCAGTAAATACCAAGCTCTTACACGTACAACAATGTTGATTTTCTCTATATTCTGCTTGAGAAGAGCTTGTACTAAACAGAAGAATTTTCTGCTCTCCTTCCAGTTCCTGTCTCCAGCTCACACAGGCAGACACAGCCTGTGGTACTGATGATCAAATAGGAGCAATGGCATTCTGGCTCCTGATTAAAGAGCAGAGCATGGCTGTGCTGGGTCAGATGAAAGATCCAATTAGCCCAGGATCCTCCACAAACAGCAGAAGCCGTAAGAAAAGCATATGCCTGCCCTTTTCATCCAGCAGTACTTCCCCAGGACACCTTTCGTCCTGCTATCTATAGTAAAGGCACTTCCTGAGCCAGAAATTTTATCTTTAGGATTAGCAGACCTTGAAGGCTTTTTCCTCTCTAAATTTGTTTGTGCTCTTTCTGAATCCAGGGAAACTTTCTTAACTGCAAACCACTGTGGTAACGAGTTATAAAGTTCTGTGTAAGCAATGCAAGAAAAAGACCTTTGGTTTGTTCTGAGCGTGCCACCTGCTAGTTTTGTTTGATGTGTCTGAGTTCCTGAGCCAGAGGAGACATTAAGCAATTGCTGTGTATTTACTTTCTCCATGCAGTCATGATTCCATTGCATTCTGAATCACCCCAAAGGCCTCACTGCAGCTATCCACAGACCATGGGCGTCGAGCTGAACTCACAATCTGTACATGGTCAAGTAAGACAAAAAGCGTTTTCCTGCTCCGAGTGCTCATGGATGTGGCAGTAACACAAGTACCACAACACATTATGCAGTAGTTAATACTAATAAACAGCAAGAAATAATGCCAAGGCCACATTAAGCCACATTTCCAAGATATTGCTCGGAGATGCTGCAGGAGGAAAACTGTGTTGGTGTCAGCTGAGAGGTGCTTCTCAGGAGCACAGAACTGGCCAGGGATTCCCAGCTTCAGGCAGGTCCCAAAACACTGGCCCCACAACAGAGGGATCCAGGAGCTCCTTCCAACTACATGCTTGGAAAAGACTTGGGACTACTGCTCACGCTGGTTTTCCCTGGCTCTGCTGAGGTTGCTGCATGCCCTGAAGGGCTCTGCATCAGCACAAGCCCCATGCAGAGCACACCCGGCTGCCCTGTTGCTCCCTGACCTGTAACTCTGCCACACAAAGGAAACAAGTGCAGCTCCTCTGCTCCAGAGCTCACCTAACCCCGGGAACAGCAGGAAACAGCTGCGGAGAGGAGCTCTCAGGAAATAGGAAGGCTGAGAAAAGGGCTATATCAGATGAGAAGACACAGCCTTCTGGGGAAAACCAACAGCTCCAATTCCCTCCAGAGCTCTCTGGGCCCTGCTGGGCCTGGGCCATCACTTCCAAAGCAGGGTCTGATCCTGCATCATCAGTGGCAACCTCCCAGCCACTATCAGGAGTTCAGGACTAAACCCTGATGCTCATGAACATCACAGGTACACTCACACAGCAGCAGGATTTTGAACACTTGCCATAACCTCCAATTTGTCCAGCAGAGGAAATGTTGGTCAGCTAATGCCAGGACACAATTCCCAGGCAGGAAAACATAAGGAATAAGGGGGTGTATAGCAGCACCCCTTCTTTTCCCCAGCCTGGCAATGGCAGTGGATACAACCCATGCACACCATGCTCCATTCCATGTTCTGACGCTGCAGCTGCACACATCCCCAAAGGCTGTGCTAATGACCTGGCAAGCAGACGTGTCCCAAATGACACTGCAGAATGCCTGAAGCCCTGAAAGAAGACACTATCTTGTTTACATTGACTGAGGGGGAAAAAATGCCATCTAATTATTACATAAATTCTGGCTGTAGCAGCTTCATGACTAGTTGAAAAGAGGTAACAGGCTCCAAAATGACTGATGGACCCAAGTGTTTGGATTCACCAGCTTATCAATCTAATGCTAAGGAAGATCTTTCATATCCCTGTGTCTCTATCACTTTAACCTACCTGTGATGGACAGAGAGAATAATCTCTGCTCTTCGCCTGTAAAATTGATTCATGTACTGTGACTTTTTTATTTTTTCCACTCTATGCTATGATGAAAACGGAGAAACAATTAAAAAACCCTAAACAACCAACAAAACACACACCACAAAAAAGCAGTATAACATAAATACAGCCTAGCACAATAACATGAATTTGAAAAATATCAGTTTAAGTTATAAAATGTAATTTGGAGGAGAATGCAATTCAAAAGGCAGAATTACAATTCACATAAAAGCTTTAAACTGCACTGCTGCAGCAAACCAGCCTTGGCACCAGGAGCTTCCATGCAGGGTACATGGGTAAATACAGCCATTATGCCACAATAGATACAAATTAGCCAACCTAGGGCAATGCTGATATTCTATCTTTAATCCCATCTTTAGATTCTGGTGCTACATCACGGTTGAATCTGGCACTAACCCTGTGATTACATATCAGCAGATCAGTATAAAAATAATTTGTTCTGAGTTCACAGTTTTATGAAATGATAAAACATCAAAATTAGCATTCTGGCTGAAATCCACTGCATTTCCCATCAAGGCTTACACATTTAAGCAACATCTGAACCAACTGCCTATAATTACTCCTGGCAGATACTGGAGCACTTAGGCCAGCAGTAGATGCAACAGTGAAATAAATTTTTAAAGACATGCTGCAAACCACTTCAAGATGCTCAGCCCAGAAGCAAACATGTGTCCATAAGCCCAATACACGGTTTATTTTACAGGATTTGTTCACTCTTGCATAGTAAAAGCCTGAGAAGAATGACAGCCCCAAGTAATCTGTCAGTTTAAAATTAAACATTTATTTGGGCTGCAATTCCAAAAATACTCACCCCGAAGTTCCTGTCACAACTACTTAAGAGGAAGTGAGGTTGCATATTAACTTAGGTTAAAAGAAACACTAATTCTGCACAAAACCAGTTATTTATTTATTCAAAAGAACCAACATTTTAAAATGATAATTTAACTGAGAAACACAGAATGGAGTAATAGAAATGGCTAAGAATACACATAAAAATTTCCTAACATAGAAGTAGTTTATTTAGTCTCTCCTGACACTATACATTTATTTCTGCCACGATTCTTATCGCTGGGAACAGCTGTCCCTAAAGCAATCAATTTTCTCTGCATTCATGCTCCCATCCCAGACACCCTTCCCAGGAAAAAAGAAGTGTCTCTTTTTTTTTAATATATGCTCACATACATTCCTGAATGAAAGGGACCATTAACATTACAGAGCCTTTAAAATTTCATTATTTTTGTATTATATTTAAATACACTTAGAATAAAGTTGACCTCAACTACTTAAGGAAATGGTCTTCCAGGATAAGAAAATACATGAGAATGAAATACAAGACCACCTTCCCAACAGTGTGTCTGCTTATTACTTTCTAAAAACTTCCAAGATAACCAAGCCCTCTCCTCTACTTCCCTGGAATTTGTTTCATAAGTGTTCTCCAGAGAAGAGCACTGGTGCTAAGTTTTGTAAACTTCCTAACAAATCCCAGGCACCTCAGCAGGGAAGGAATCTGCCAAGTTACCAGTTCCTCACTGGTGCAGAGCCTGGCACCAGCGAGGAACACAGCCGTGTTGGAAGGTCTGGAGCCAAGCACGAGTAAATTCCAGCAGGTTCCTGGGGTGTGCTCTGTGCCAGCCCAGGAGCTGCTCGGGA